GAGATGTGTATGCCTACTCTTGGTAATTATTACTCTAAACTGGAGAAGAGACTTTTTTGAAGACCGGTGAACTGGCATTTTAACCTAAGCTTTAAACTCATGGGAAGTCACAGTGAGAAATCATTAACTGTATCCTATTAAAACCTGAAGAAACAAGAGACCTGGGCTAGTTGCATTGATTAAAATCTCTTTTCTGTTTCTAACTCAGTGTTTATCTCCATGCTCTCTGGGGCACTTCTGAGCAAGAGATGCCCACATGTGTGCAGCTGGGGGCAGCTCACTATCCATGCTCACCTAACACCATCATCTAATTGTACTGAAAACCAGAGCTTAGAGTATTTTGAAGTTCATTTTCTTTTTTAAAAAAAACCACTTATTTAATTAAGCAAGGGAGTAAAATTTCTAACTTATTCCCAGTTCTTTAAGATAGTTAAACGTCACCAGTATTAATTTATTTTTTAGTAGGCTAACTTAATGCTAAATTGAATACCATCAAAGCTAAAGATGTCTTTTGATATAGCAAGTCACAATGCAGTATTTTAAAATATTTGTGGGGACGTTCATTTGTAAAATATAGACATGCAAGAGTATTTATACCTAATGTTACGCGTCTGTTTTATTTACAAGTAGATCTTAAAAATTCTTGCGCTACACCTTCTTTGTAGACTGTTCATATATATATATATATATATACCTTCTGTCACTGGCATCCCTGGCCCTATCCTACTGTGTTGAGTCAGGAGCATTGTTGTGCTGTATGTTAACTTTTGTCTTGTCAAGTCTGAGATTGTTACTACTCTCTAGTGGCATGTCATTCTATGCACAGTTAAATTCCTTTACTTGTCACTTGGATTAGAATGAAGATTGTACATGGATAAAGAGGGTGAAGGGGTAAAGGCATGGTTGCAGAGGAAAAGCTGCAGAAAACATTCATTTAAATTGTTCAAAAGTAAAATAAATTGTGTTAATTTGGAGGTTTTTTAGACAGTGATTTAAAAAAATAAATTATCCATTGATAGCAGGAGTCATAGTCTTTTGGTTTTGGAAAGTATTCAGTATTTTGATTGACATCAGATATTGAAAACCCAACTTGATTTCACCAAAGCAAATTATGATGGCACAATAGGATTCTGCTCTGCATGAACCCATGAAATCATTGCCCTACTCATCACTCCATCAGGAAAGCCAAGAGTTTAAGGAATGCAGTGGGGCAGGGCAACTCCTGCCCCTAAAGATCTTTCCTGCAGTTAGTTCCCTTACCTGCCAGCTCTCCAGCAAGATAAGTGGAAGCAGTGTAGCTTGAAGGTGCCTCTGCTAGAATGAGATGCAGCCAGGCCTCTCTGTTCTGTACAGGGTACGCAGATCTGACAGCACTTATAAAAGAAGAAGGGAGTCAGTGCCCTGCTGACTAAATTGTCCTCCAGGGGAGTATTAGTTACAGAGCTTCTTTGTTAACTAGGCTGGATGCTTAAACCACCATTGAACTTCTTTTATTAGCATGTTTTAAGATTGTTCTACATATGGATGCCCTAAGTATCTGCAGGGCGGGAATATTTCCATATAATTTACATATAAAAGTTACGTGTGTGTATAACAGTAATATAAAAACTGTATCTTTTATTACTCTTCAGTTGCACCAAGGTCTAGTCGGCACTGAAATGTGATGACACGTGAGCAGGAAGACAGCCACCGTCTTTATATTTTCCTCTTGATACTTGCCTTGATCAGCTTGTTGAATAACAGAAATGTTTTTGATGCCTTTGCAACTTGAATGAAGCTCTCTTAACACCCATCCATGTCACTTTTTCAACCATAACGTGGAGTTTTAAGGGAGGACAGGGAAGGGGATTATGGATTGTGCAGAGAATTACAAAGATTTTTTTTTCTTTTTTCAAAGTGACATTTTGGTTTTTTATGAAGAAAGATTTGCATAAGATTATTTAAAGACAATTGATGGTTTTTTAAAAACTGAATCTGCATTGTCTTCTCTGTTAGTCTCATATGCAGCATAATAGAAGGTGGTTGTTTACCCTGTCATCTCCTCACTGTGTGTTCTGGGAAGCAGCGTGGGAACCAGCTTCTTTCCCAGCAGTGCTCTGGTTGCCCCTGTCCCTCTAGTGTTAGGTCAGGAAGCACCTGGCTCCTGGAGGCCACCCCCAGCCTCACCATAGGTTCCCAGGGTTAGGAGGAGAGTTTAAAAGAATACTCATGATCTGGCTGTCACTTTTTTTTTTTTCAGAGGTATTCAGGAGGAGGAAGCCCCTACTCTTGGGAGGATGTGTGCTGTGGTCCCCTCTCAGTTCACATTTTTCTCCCACGGAAGAGGTGAAGGCAGTAAGGTGATACTAGCGTTGCTGGTTCTTTTGGCCAGAGCCAGATGTAAACCTTCTGGCTGTGTAGCCGTAAGTTCTCTGTCATAGCTGCTCTGCCTTTGTTGGCCTTCAGAGCCAAAGGCAGCTCTGAAAGGTATGGACTGGCCAGTTCAGGGATGTGCTGTGGACACTGTAATTTGAACTTCATATATTTTTCTCTTACTAGTTTTTTTCCAGTCATTAAAAAATGTATAGCTTGTGGGCAGAGCAAAAAAGGGGCCCATGTTCAGCCTGCAGGCCACAGCTTGCAGTACCCTGCTTTCAAGAGCCACTGCAGTTATGTCCCTTTGCACATTCATGAGATGGTTCCATCCATTAGAAAGGGGAACACAGACCCTGAAAGGATCCTCCAAGGCCCTCCACTCTTCCCTGCTTCACGCTCATCCCAGGCTCCAGGGTTGGGCCCAGGGAGAAGTCAGCATGCAGGCTGGTGCTGGAGGAACAGGCACTGTCGGCTCCCATTTTCCTTTTGAACACATCAGTGTCGGTGAACATGTACACATCTATTAACCTAAGTTTGTTTTGAGGAATTCCGATAACTGCCTTCATTACTGAAGTGTGACTGCTTTGTACATAACATGTACCTGGCTGAGCAGCCTGCCTGTTTCTACCTGTCTTCTCCGGGTTATATTCAATTCAGAAGCTCTAAATGGAACTATTGTTGAATCCAGTAATCAAGTTAAATACAAAGCTTACCAGTTGAATGTGTGCACAATCATGATCTCCTGTGCCCTGTGCAGAAAGGTTTATTTTATCTCTGAATTCTAAAATCTGATTCAGCTTACCTCATTTTATTTTGGGGATTTTGATATTCCTTTTCCATTGGTAACATTTTCAGTCTACCCTGTTGCCATTTTGTTGTTTTTCATAAACACAATTATTTTACATTAAAGATAACTCTTTTATTTATAACTGAGAAGTTATTCTTAGCACATTTTCCCTGCAACATTCATCTCTTTGTGAGGTTCTCATCAGCTATAACTAGAGTGTTTAAAAATAAAAATAAAAAAAGAAAGAAAGAAAGAAATTCAGTTTCTCTGTTTAGAAAAAAAAGAGGAAAGAGAAGTTAATTACATGTTATACCAGATGATTAGCACATGAACTATCCAGGGATCCTAATCTTGAGTTTGCTTTGTGACATTTTGTCATTGCTGAAGAGCTATGACCAGCTCTCTTTACCTTGCCCTTTTATATTTTCTGAGCTAGATTTGTTCTTAGAACCCAAAGCATCCTCCACCCCCATTTTTCAAAGCCCTAGTTTCAAAGGTCCCCATAGCAAGCAAAGTTAAACATTAATGAAATTAAGTGATTAGAGCTTATGTATTAGGACTGAATATACCTTGAGGCAGTAATAACCAGGTATTTCTGATTTTGTTCTGCAGTATTTAGTATGGATTACTAGGACAGATATTTTTTATACTGCAATTCAGCATTTAGAACTCACTGAACATCTAGTCCCCAGCTTTGCCTGGGCTTGCAGCATTGGAGATCTGAGTCCAGTAATTCTTGCAAGCCTTTGCCTAGGTACTGAACATCTTTTGGTGGCCCCAGTGTAGGCCATGGGGCACAGCAGTAAAAGAGCCACCATGTATGGTCTGTTGCTGCTTTTTTGTTTCTCCTCTTCTCTTTATTTTCTTTAGCTCCTGCATCTGTCCTCAGTAATGTGACCTTCAACAGTAACTTTGACTCTCTGAACTTCAGTTTTCTGAAGCTGTCAAATGGAGATTTTTAATAACTTCCTCAGAGGGTGTTATCGTCAAATTAGATAGCATTGCCAGCATCAAATTGTTATATAAAGGCATAAGCTGTAACATTAGGACTCATTTCTGCCAACGTAACTTCAAAGGAATTTATTTTCGCAATGTCACGTAAAAATACAAATATCACTATTTTATTATAACAGTACTTTGTAGTTATTTAAAATGTAATAATTCTTCACTGCAAAGTTTGGTTAAATTTTTGACTGTTGCTGGGCACGGTGGTGTATGCCTGTAATCCCAGCGACTTGCAAGGCTGAGGTAGGGGGATCATGAGTTCAAACCCAGCCTCAGCAACTTAGCAAGGCCCTGTGTTGAATAAAATGTTTTTTAAAAGGACTGGGAATGCGACTCAGTGGTTAAGTGCCACTGGGTTCAATTCCTGGTACCCCCCCCCCAAAAAAAAAGACTATTACTACATTACAACGTCCTAGTTTGAAATTTAGTCTATAATGTGGATTCTAAACAAAGGGACCCAAATCCTGTGGTTGCTCAGCTTATGGAAGCCCTCATGTTAGAGCCAGGTACCCATTCCTACGGTAAGTCACCCCATCCATGGTATCCGCACGGCACCTTGCTTGGGCCTGATGGACTTGGCATGGCAGCAGAAAAGAAAACAAAGAGGATGGTTTTATGAAGAGAGATACAGCTTTCCTCATTTTTTAGGAGATGCTGACTCTCATGGGTTCATCCCAGGAGGGAACTCATTAATATCTTCTAATAAAAAGTGGCCATACTCTGAATTGGGCATTAATTTAGAAAAGAAAATTTTGCTCTGAAGGGGACATTGTTATGATTTTCATGTAGTATGTCAGTTGGATATTGGTCCAGTGTGTTACCCTATAAATACATGCTTTTCTTTCTTTCTTAGGACCTGTCTGGCTCCATTGATGACCTCCCCACAGGAACGGAAGCAACCCTGAGCTCCGCGGTCAGCGCGTCGGGGTCCACAAGCAGCCAGGGCGACCAGAGCAACCCAGCTCAGTCACCTTTCTCTCCACATGCATCTCCCCATCTCTCCAGCATCCCTGGGGGGCCATCACCTTCTCCTGTTGGCTCTCCTGTAGGAAGCAACCAGTCGCGATCTGGCCCAATTTCTCCTGCAAGTATTCCAGGTATCACCTTCTTAATTGTCACTGTTTTTCTCTGTTAAACAACAGCTCTAACATTCGACGGTGGCACTCACACTCCATGACTTGTTTTATTATCCCCCAGTGATGGGACCATGCGTTAGGAATGTAGCTGCATTCTCAAAGAAGAACACCAGAGTCCCAATCCCTAAAGAGTCTCAGCAAATGAGTCTACCACCTACCACCCATTTAGAAAATACCAGATACATTGATATTTTCAGTTTGCCAGAAACACAAAACTGATCTCTGAGCATTTACTCTGTAATGCTTTGTTAAATAAGGTCCTCTACTGGTAAGTGCACTGTGTGGTTATTCATGAGCATTGGCCTTGGTTTTTCCATTGTCCTCTTCAAAGTATACCTCAACGGTTATTTCTCAAATGTTTTTAGGGTTTGTAATTCCTCACGTCTGCTCATATTCACACGCTGACCAGTGCCAGAACACACTCAGTGATGTTCTTGGAATTATTTATTTATTTGAATATTTATTTTTCAATAGCTTCATCTCTGGTCCAGCTTTCTTATATCAAATGTCATACATTTAAACCCACCATGCAACTGGCTTTCGTTTCTTATTAAATCATGTGTAAGTTTTTTTTGTGCAACTTTTGCTAACTTAGTACGGATATGCCAGAAAGCACTTTGATTGAACTACATATCAGAATGGGTATTGAATTGCTAATAAAGTCTCATTTATATTTGATTTTGTATTTTCATAAAATGTTTATTATGGAATACTTGTATATTTATTATAGTGTATATATGTAACATAGATAACTTGCTAATTGTGAATCATGACCATCATGAATATTCATGAGTCCACCGTCCAGTCTGAGTATTGGTGTCACTGGTGCTGTTACATTTTACCTGTATGTCCCTTCCCTGTCTCAAACTCTGTTCCTTTCCTCCACTTCTAGATTTTTTTTATCACTTTTTGTTTTGTTTTGTTTTATTTTTGTAGAATTTTATTACAAGCATTCAGAGTATATGGAGTTAGTTTTATTTGATAAATTTCTTTGTAGAAATGTATACTATTTATTTAATGTCATGTTGTCAATAATTACAGTAGAACTACAAGCACAAATTAAGAAGACCCTGGGAAAATCAGAAAATGCTGCTTCTACTCACACCATATATAGTCTGCTTTGTCTTACTTTTTGGCTAATGGTTAAGTTTCTAAGATTCATCCATAATTTGAGCATGACCATAGTTTTAAGGCATTTTAATGTTACCTTTCCTTCAAGAGTATTTGCTTATCCTCCTAGTGTTTGCAATAAGACATGGACTACTTATTGTTAAGAGTGTTAACTCTGAATACTCCCTACTTCAGAATTTCTAAGGCAATCTTTGCTGTTCAGATTTTTTTTTTCAGATTGGTATTTGAGGGGTGTCATCTAAATGTTGGAAAATCATATATCAAGTGTTGTATTTCTCCAAAAAGAGCTCACTCCTTTATTCTGAATTAATAACTAATCTAAATACAGACTTTTCTGAGGTATAAAGAATATTTATACCTTACATGTGTATTTGACAATCTGAAGATGTTTTTACGTACATTTATCTTTCCAGGTGGAAGTTTCTGAGCCTTTGTCTTCAGTGACTGGGTTTTGATGTAGTGTAGAGCACATACCTTAAGAGAAAAGCTCACATTGGACCTGTGGTCCTGGATGGTCAGGCATTAGGTTGTTAGGTCATGCACACAGAGGAGAGGAACTGGTCGTCAAGTCTAGTGCTCTGTGTTTTGGAGGGTAAGAGTTGGTCATTGATCACGTACCGGCACAGTTGCTGTTTATGCTCCCCAGTAGCTGCAGGTGTGGCCATGGAGGGGAATACCAGTATTCCTATTCATTTCTCCCTGCCAATTCCTTTTGTAATTGAAAACGGTCATCTTTCTTGAAAATGTTGTTGAAAGCAGAGAGCTTGTTTTTTAAACTTGTATCAGCAGTGCCCATCTTAGCTGTGCTTCATCCGAGTTCTGTGTTGGTTGAATGAACTTTTCACTGATATTTAATACAGGGAAGAAATTAGGCAGCAAAAGCTTCACGTTTCTTAGTGATATTTTGTTTGTTTGGTTCTTTGTGAAACTGGGGATTGAATCCAGTGGTGCTCTACCACTGAGCTAGTCCTTTTTATTACATCCCTAGTCCTTTTTATTTTTTGAGACAGTGTGTAGCTAAGTTGTGAAGGCTGGTCTCAAGCTTGCAATCCTCCTGCCTCACCTCCCTGAGTCACTGGGAATACAGGCCTGCGCCACTGTACCTGCCCTTAGTGATTGATGTACTCTTGAAGTGAATCTTGACTCTTTCCTAAGTGTGAAGGTGCATATATGATCAAGCATATAAAACATGACAAAGAGAACATTTCTTAACCTTAGAGTTGTTCTAAAGGGAAGAGCCTCTTAAAAAGTCTGATGGACAATTTTTGCATTTGTTCACCTTCCTCCCAGATAGAATTGCAGTGAACTTTTGAGCTAGATGAATGGGCTTTCATAACAGCTAAACCCTCCTCCTTATCCTCAAGCCACTTGCTGAGTAAACTTGGCAAGCTTCTAAGCTTCCCTGAGCCTCAGTTTCTGCATCTGTAAAGATAATATACATGTAAGACAGGTACATGCTACATGTAGGACCTGGTGAGCACTTAATGCCTATTGATTATTGTCGTTTCCATCAGTTATTGTTGTTATTCAAGCTGAGACCTGGAGACTTATCCATTTGTAATTACCATCCAGAGCGGTGCGATTGGTTTTTGCAGCAAGTCCCTGATTCTTTATCCAGTAGTGTTCACAAGGTGCGCATGAAGTTTCAAGTTATGGTTAGCTCTGATTACCGAGATTGTTCAGCTGGACTGCTAGCCATAAAACTGCATAACACATTTTCACAAAGTTGAATCTATTTTTCTTCTTACTTAAAAAAAAGGTCACAGCTGCTCTTCTTGAGGGTTGGGACTGAGAAAATAAAGATAAAAAGATTGTATCCCTGAGATTAACAGAATTTTTGCCACTATTTCTACACATAAAAATTTTGTGGGACAGAAACCCTTGCTTCGCTCAAGCCATAGGCAAGTTGATTTCTGTATGATGGGCCTTCAGGTTAGCAAAGTTTGACATTAGGTGCAGTTCAGAATCCTGGATTATTTCTCCCTCTTTTTTGTCTTTTTAGAGATGATATCAGTGAGCTCTGAGCAGTGTCCTACTCGGGGCCAGCACACACTGGCACTCGCTGCTTCCTGTGCAGCAACACGGGGTTGACAGCCAGCCTGCTCTCGTGGGATGGGGCGCCCTTTTCTGAGTTATAGAGGAGCAGGGAACCCTTGGCAGCCTTGTCTCAGCCTTTTTGGAGGGATAGTCCATGGCTTGAATCCAGATGTCCTATTTCTCCTCTCTTTGTTCCCACAGCTAAGCCTAAGGACAGTCAAAACTAAGTCTTTGATAGGTGTTTATGAAAAAAGTTATGGTGCTATTTTAGTGGTATTTGTTTAAAAATCCTAACAGATTTTGTTGAAAAAATTACAGGTTTCTCAATCCATTTTTATCCACCTAGTCTGTATACCATCTCCCATATGCACACACACTTGTGGAAAATTACATTTCCCTAAAATCCACATCCTTATTCTCTGGGAGGTGTTGAGTTAGTCAGCTTACATTATGTTATGTGTTTTTGTGAATTTGGTCATTGGCAATAAGGCACACTTTGGGTTGATCAGAAAGTTGATATTTTTTGTTTTTTTTTTATTTTTTTATTTACTTCTAATTAAATGTAAATACACCTTTATTTACTGAAAAATTGGGCCCTTGTATCATCTTCTTTCCCCATCTCTAGCCCTTGTTTTTAAATTTTGCTGATCTGTACATTAGATGCTAAGATAATATGTAGTCTCCTTCCTTTGGCTTTGAGTTGGAACTGGTGAAGTGCAGTGTCCTGTCAAGATTCCGTGGCCTTCCAGAGCAGGGCTCTCAAACTGCTGCTATACATGCAATTGGACTTTCCCTTTCTTTTCCTTTTTTTTTTTTAATTTTTAAATTTTTTATTCTAATTTGTTATATATGACAGCAGAATGCATTATAGTTCATATTACACATATAGAGCACAATTTTTCATAACCCTGGTTGTATGCAAAGTATGTTCACACCATGAGTGTCTTCATATAGTACTTAAAGTAATGATGCCCATCTCATTCATCATCTTTCCTACCCCCAGGTGCCCCCTTCCCCTCCCACCCCTCTGCCCTATCTAGAGTTCGTCTATTCCTCCCACATCCCCCTCCCAAGCCCACTATGAATCAGCCTCCTTATATCAGAGAAAACATTTGGCATTTGGGTTTTTTCTCCAACTCCGTCCATTTACCTGTAAATGCCATGATTTTGTGGGATGTTCCTTTATTTTCTGTGTGTAGGTTTTGCTTGCTTTTGTTCCTCTCCTTCCTCTCATCTCCAGCACTGACTTGTTTTTTCTGACCTTGCTTCACTCTCGTTACCTCTTGCTGTATCTTGATGCTGCCTCTCCCTGAGTCACAGACTGGCTCATTCAGTCATCGTCTCTCCTTTAAAATGCACAGCTGTTGTGTAGCTGAGAGCTGGGATAAGGTAAAGCCAAAATGTTGTGGGGGGTCTAGTATTGCTTTCCTAGCATTTGTTAAAGAGAGCAATCATTTTTCTCCATCTCTGCCCTGGTAAATGAAATTGACAGCTAATGAGAAGTATCACAAAGGTGGATAAACAAAGACCAGTAAAGCATCCCATTTGGCTGATTCTGATTTTTGTCTGTGAAACCGTTGCTCCACCCACTGCAGTTTGCCCTCTGATCATGCTGCCTCGCAGCCCTGGTGAGCAGCCTGGGAACAGCTGCTGCCAGGGAGCATGGGAGGCACTGGCCCTGCCACATCCCTTCTTCAGTGGGCTTTTTCCTTCCTTCTTTCTTTTAAAAAGCAACATGGAGATTCCCTGTGGTTACTATCCACATGGATTCTCTCCCTTTGAACTGGGCTCTA